GTGTGGTGTGTGTGTGTGTGTGTGTGTGTGTGTGTGTGTGTATGTATGTATGTATATATATAAATTTAACCCCATCTGAAGTTCATAACTTACCTGACTTTTTCAGGTCTTTTAATAATCTAAAGAAAGTACTGTATGCCTTTTAATAATAAAATATTATACTGCATGATTATTGTTAATTAAACATTCGGTATCATTTGTCTATTTTGACCCTTATATAATGTTTTTCACTTTACTAGACCTAATGTTTAGTACTGTAATTTTTTTTTCTTTCTCTCACCAATCAGTTGTTGTTTCCTTTGTTTTTTTTCCCTTCACTTTAATTTTTGTTCTTTGCATAATTGTTACTTGATTGTATTATTGTATTATGGGCGCACCACCATACAGTGTGTGCCACTGTTCTGAGAGTGAGTTCTAATAAATACTGAAATACTGTCAATGTATCATGTATGAATATATTTTTAAGTAAACAAAATATGGAAAATATAATAACTCAGATTACCTACATGCATAGGCTACATGTATACTGTATATAATAGGTCTAAGTATGTATTATATATGAGTATGCATAGGCCTTCAGAATATATAATTAATACACAATATAAATTGTTTATAATAATTTACATACACATTGCATACACATTATACGGTAGACATAAGTAAATTGTGGGAGTTTTTTTTTTTTTGTTTTTTTTTTACGATTTTACCCGACGAAAACATTCCCTGACAAGTAACATCTCCCTAAAGGCAAAAAAACATAAGGGGATCTGTTCAATCTCTTGCCCTGGGCTACAATAGCCATCTGTGGCAACCTTTTCAAGATGATGAAAAACAAGTCTTGGTAGATTGACAGCGACGTTGCATTTTAAGTGATAAAAAATGTTTTGTGGTATAAATTTGCTTATATTAAATAGATTAAAAATATAAAAAATTAGAAATTATGTTCAATGCAATTGTTTTTGAAGATTAATTTCTACAAGAGATTTTGTGCACAACACAATCTACAAGTCATATTAAACAAAAAAATAACCCCCCCCCACCAAAAAAAACAAAACAAAAACATACTGTACAGAAAATTTGCAAGATATCAAGACATTTATTGTACGAAAAACGAATGAATAAAATTAGAATGTTGTGATCTCCTACCTCCTGTACAAACTATTTTAAAAACATCCATATAGAGCATATACTCAATTCCTTACATACTCACATTGTCATTGAGTTCTTACTCAAACTGATCCAAATTTAGCTAATTTCACATGGGTTACACATATATTGAGTTCATGTTTAAAATGAGATTCAAATCATACTCAAAGGACAGCGCTTTCAAGAAAATCACATCAGTCCTATGTGTGATGGTAAACTATACTTTGCATAATTACATTACTATTAGTAATATACATTAATTACTTTGTGTATATATGTGTCCTTCCCCATGAGGCAACCATGAGGCAAGTCTATTGCGATATGTCTCATGTCTGCACATAATCATTTTACACACTCAATTTGTGGCGATAAAACTCAATGCGAAATAATTTTACTGATACAGAATTCACATCAAACTTCATTGGCATAATTTTTGATGGCTGAATTCAAGACAAATGCAATATATATTGTTTATAATTATTTTGTAAAACTTATGACTACTTTTGACACTTTTTAATTTAGCATCAATTTCAACAACTTTCAAAATTTATTCAAAGCTGTTTTTATTATGAAACACATAGCGCCTCTATAAAATATTCACAGTACAGGTATGTATGGTATGAAATAAATATTTCATGGCATCATATTGCATGGAATTTAAGCCCAAATTTGTAATGTGATTCAAAGTCTATTCATTTAAATCTATCAATATTGAAACACTGTTAGTTAATATGTTAATACAATTTTTTTGCGCTTTCACACAAAGTTATAATTCATTTTTTAATATGTTGTTAAGGGATATAAACAGCGAATACTGATTCTGTTGTATATGACATATATGTTTAAGTAGTAATAAAGATGAGAACATCACTTTCAATTCTGTAAATATTCTGGAAATGTATTAAGTTCAAAATAGAACAGTAATGCCTTGCATTACTTTATTCAGTGTGCTGTAATGTTTTTATTAACACGTTGGTTGCCAGCGACAAGTATACTAGCCCCACAGGGTGTTGCTGAGGGCGCCGGGGACGAGTATACTCATTAAAATCAGGTTAACATTCTAGCGTTTATTACTTCTTTGTTATACGTTGTAGAACCGCAGACTCAACGGCTGGTAGTTCGGGAAGATCCACATAAATGATAACATACAAATGATGAATGTACATTTGTTGTGTTATGTTGCCGGTAGTACACTCGAGCGGTGCAAGTGTGGGTGCCCTTTGAACTTATACCAACCCATGCAAAAAGCGGACGAGATAACTCGTACTTGGCATTGTCAGCAAAAAAGTGCTGTCACAGTGCCATCAACCCTAATATTTTTTTTGTCTGTACATGTAAACTTGTTTTTGCACACTGGAAGGAACCTTAAAAAATGGTCTGGCAGTCAACGTGTTAAACTTCTTCTTTTGACTGTCATTTTGCTAGTCTGTAAAGTGCTGTTGACTATATAAGACAATCTCATGTATTTGAAGGAACATTGCTCACTACTAGCACCAGTGCTAGGAAAAACTGTTGCACACTATGAATGCTGGTACATAGTCTAGGTAAACTGTTGCACAACAGATTGTTACCCAGCCTAGAAAATTGTTACACAACATAGTTGAAGCATAAATAACAAGAATTATATTCACTTCACAAAGCACCAACAAAACAGAGGCCTGCAATGAAGACATGCTTGCATTTTAGAGGCCCTCAATAATCTGTCATATGAGGAATCGCTTTAACATATATCATGAATAAGAAGAGAAACCGAAAAATAAATTCACATTACCATATCTTATAATATCTAATTAATATATAGATATCATAATAGTGGCCCCTATTGGAAGCACATATAGTTTGGCCAATATTGTGAAAATTATACAAATAAAACACCTACTAAAAATTCATTCATTATTATTCACAATATCAAAGCATTATTAGTTATCATTAATACAACAGAATATAAATAACATAACATAACTATAAAAAAATATTCATTAGTATAAAGATAATTTAACACCTGGTTAGTTATGAATTTCCCATACTTATTAATAGACTTAAATAATGGATTAAAAATTACCATCATTCACATGACATACGGAGTATTGTCAATTTTAAAAACTATAGGTATTTTATTTTTTTGTCAATTTAAGTTATCTATGCACTAAACATGACTGACCATGCTCAAATCTAACATTATAATTATCATTAAGTCTGTGTAATGACCTACGACCTACACTTTGCATCATATTTGTCATCAAGAAAACCCTTAAAAAGTCCACAAATATCCACTTTGCAAAATTTTCATACACAACACTGAGAATTTTAAAATTTCTTGTTCTCAACAGCTAAATTATTATTATAAAAATCTAAATTCTTAAAGAGTTTCTGCAAGTTAAAAAGGGTTGTGATTAGGAGGATGAGGGGATTGCGTAGGATAGGAGGGAACAATGCATTAAAGCTGAAGACTGCTGCAGGTTTCAATACAAGTCTGAATAATTGATACATGTTTCAATTTCATGAATCGGTTTCTCTCCTGAAATACAAAATCATTCCTTTCACTTTTGTCAACATTAAAACATACTTCGTTTTCTACAAAACTTTTTTTATACACATACAGCACTTGCGTTTAACATTGTTTTTCAATCAGCACACTAACATGAAACATTTGCATAAAAAGAACATTCAAACTTGAATAGAAACTTTGAAATATAAACTAATACATGTCAAGGGTGATGCAATAATTATTATTCCATTTCACTCTGTCAATCAATCAATCAACCACTGAACCATCAATCAATCAAATTATTGCTATAAATGATAAATCATTATACGTTTCACCAGAAAAATATATTAGTACAGTATTATATATAAAGAAAGTATATATTTAAAGATCCAATGGAAATTACCTTATGGGCTTTACTGCATTATCCTGCAACATTACATTTTTAGACCTATATTACTTTCTCCTCCAATTTTCATACAATTCATTGTATTAATCATCATTGTTTTTCAAACCCCAATCAAATCATGTTCATGTATGATTTATTATAAAGTAAATGAATTTTTTTTGTTATTTTTTATCAATAACCCATCATATATGTCTTGCACTAAATAATGTACAAGATAACTTATACCGAATAAACGAATACTATCAATGCGGGTTAAAATAGAAGTTTAAAATCAGGAAGAAATGACAATGTTTATGATCATCAATTTGTAATTTTTCATAATGATAATACAAAATATGATACTGTACATAAAAAGCATAGTGATTGCCAAATATATTTTATAAAAATATGTTAAAAGCTGCTAAACAGCTTCAGCCCATACTATCAACAGAAACATATTTTACTGCAAAGCTTGGTTTCCTTAAAATCGCTACAGTGTTTTCAGTGCAAGCGTTACTGTGAAGAAGTCCCCGACACAATTGGGGAGGCTCCCTGATTCGACCGAATCCATTAGCATCACTGGAACCTGTCGACGATAGTGTTTAGCGATCGATGTATGGAATCCAAGCTTAACATAGAGCCTCCCACAGCTTAAGGCTGTAACCATCAATGGTGAAACTTAATTAAGAGCACACTTTACACAGAAACACATGTTTCTAGGCTTACTACATAAAATGTTGACTTCCATTAATTGTTGTTTTATTATAAAAATGATATTGGAGCGGCTGACACTCGAACTGTTAATGTTACACTTATGCACATAATACATTCTAACTGTTAGTTAACTAAGATTGGCTGATCGACTGTAAATCTAAATGAGTAATAAAAAGATGAATTGTTGAGGTGCGAGTCAACAATAAATTACAGATGATGTGCAAGCCACTAAGTATAATGGAAACAGGAATTAAAAATACAACGAGAACTTTACAGTTGTAGAGAGAACTGCATATTTGTAAGGTAAAGTACCTTTCTGGGCTGTCAATCAAACTTAACTGACCAATCAGGGCCAGGAATACTCACATGTATAACAAGAGTACATGTTGTCCCACAAACAGATGTGTTTGCATACACTGATCTCTACTATAATAGCTGGATTGCTCATTGGCTGGTTTTAGTGAGGCCACCACCGCCATGTTGGGAGGCCTAAGTGACGTATCATTTTAGACAAGTTTCTTTTGGCATTTGTTTAAATTATTGTTAAAAATAACGATTCTTGCAAAACTTTCTAATAATAAATTTGAATTTAAAGTAATTATTATTATCAATAGATAGATGATAATAATCATTACTTTAAATTTGAATTTAAAGTAATGATTATTATCATCTATCTATTGATGTGACTTTTTATGTAAGAAAGCGCAAGCGAAGTTATTTGCGTTGTTAGGAATTGATGTCACTATAACAATGTGACTTCGCTTGTGCTTTTGAAAACTGCATAAACTGTCGCATTGAGTGGTTAGATGGTTTGAAAATAATTCCTACGTTAAAGTAAAATTTATTATTGAAAAGTATTGCAAGAATCATTATTTAAACAAATGCCAAAAGAAACTTTTCTAAACTGGTACGTCACTTAGGCCCCCAACATGGCGTCGGAGGCCTTACTTTTGTCTGTACCAGGATTAGCCGATGAGCAATCCAGCTATTATATTAGTGATCAGTGTTTGCATATGATTTAACACTGACATTTTGTGAGACCTTAGCAACAATATTCAAGAGGCAGAATTTAGTGGGAAGATCCATTGCAGAATACAGCCTTAGGAATAAATATAACGTTAATCTATGTTTCTGTAATTAGCACTAATAGAAACCTTATAGAGGTCTAGTGTCTTAGCTAAACAACTTGGTAAAGCAAGCGTGACAGTAAGGTTTGTCATTCTGTTCCTTGAACGTGCCTTTATTGAGCTGCTTCAGGCAGTACGCGCACGAAAAATGCTCCGGGTGGAACTTCTTTCCCATGGCGGTGATACATCGCCCGGTAACAGGCATCTTACAGCCGGCACAGAGTGAGCCACGCACCGCGTGGTAATGCGTCTCGCAGTATGGGATACCATCGTGATCAAAGAAACTACCTCCATTAAAAGGCATACGGCATTCCTGGTAAGATACAGAAAAAAATTACTTAGCTTTTGTTTTAAATACATACTTTTTTCTTTGAGGTAAAAAGCTTAAAAAATCTAATTCAATGATTGGACTGCATGCTATAAACTTTCAATTGAAAACTAGAACAAGGAAGAATTTCCCTTGTCCACTGACAGACATATAATATTTTTCCAATATTCTTTTTTCATAGACTGGTTATCAACTGAATAAATACAACTATTTATTATGCAATTATATATTGGAGGCTGAAGGGACCATTATTGTGTGCAAAAATTTCCTGAAGCCTGCAGGGCAGAAAGCAATTTTTAAAGAAAATAATGCCTCCTAAATGTAGTCCCATATTCATGATTGAATGCAGGGGAATGAGCTGTTAGCTCATCGCATTAAGCCTTAGTAGTGTTTGGTAGGGAGGCCAGTTCCTTTCCACGCTGCCTTTATTCCTCCCCGTAGTGAACAACCAGGTACCCATTTATACTCCTAGGTGGAGAGACAAACGCACGTAAAGTGCCTTGTCCAAGGACACAAGCGAAATGCACAGCGAAGGTTCGAACCCCCGACCTCGAAGTTGAGAGACCGAAATGTAACTGCTGCGCCAACCGCTCCCTCCTTAGGCTTCTATTTTCTATAGGGTCTGAAATATGACAGTAATTGCTTATAGTCAGTCACCCTGTCTTATGTATTTAGGCTACTATGTATAATCAAACTTCTGGTTGCAGAGAATGGTGTACTGTAAACATTATTCTGAATTACTCCAGTGCTGCCTTCCCTTTTCAGTTCTTTTATAAAGTCAATCAGCATACCTCATAACTATAATATGGCATTTGATGCCTTGCCTAAATGAGGCAAAATGGCTAAGTTGTAGTAAAAATTGAAATTCAAGTTATTGGTATTTTCAGGTACCTGAGTATGTGATCTTTAAAATTAGGTGTCATTCATTCAAACTGGACATTTCAAGCCTAAGTTATTGGAAAGTGAAAGTACAGTACTCTTAGGGTCAAGATAAACAGGATTTTGAGTAATTACCTTTCAAAGTTATTTGTGCATACATTGTTTAATAGAATGAACTTTCAAAATAACATTAAATAAACAATTTGTTAACCACTTCCAGAACTAATACTTTGGGACATGATTAATAAGACATTAAACTGTTGATCTATAGTGAAATTTGGATTTTTAGGCAATTTTTTGAGCTCCCATATTTTATAGCTCATTTACACAATACTAGACTGTGCAACAACTTAACCATTTTGCCACAACATGCCTCAAATGGTCTAGGCTCCAATGTGCTAAGCGATGTAGAGCAAGATTTGTTAGGTTTGCTGTGTGCATTCAGAGCTTGGCCGAGCAAGGAAATTCTCATCGCGATGTAAAACAACCCCAGCTTTGAGCTCTTTGCACACAAGATTAAAAAAAGCAGGCACTACATCGAATTCGTGCCTGCTTGGAGATTGGAAAATTATCTGCAAATGAAAATTATGATGTCACGACTGACTTATAAAGGGAAATAAAATTGCTTAGCAATTCATTAACATAAATGAAGTAAAATTTATCCTTACCCCACACACAAAACATTCAGGATGCCATTGGGCATTGAGGGCAGTCATGTAGTTTTCCATGATGGCTCGATGACACCCTCCACACTTAGGTGCAAACATGTCAAAGTAATCTTCCCTACAGTACGCTTTGCCATTCTTCTCATGGAAACCATCATCTCCAAATGCACGCCCACACTGAGCACAGAAGAAATGCTCTGGATGCCACGTCTTATCCAATGCTGTCACACATTTCTACAAAAAAACAAAAAAAAAAAGAAAAAGGTAATTGGAACGCATTATAAACATTGCCATTGTCATCATTTTCAGCCAAGATCAGTTCACGTCAGGAGGAAAGCCTTTGAATGTTTTCCTAAATGTCTTAGTTGTTCTCAGGAGTTCATATATCTCTAGTACTATTGCTCTATTCTGTTTTCCTTTGTATTCTTTTTTGCCACCTGTGTGTCAAGATCAATGGCAGATGCAGGAATTTGAGACAAAGGGAAGGGGGAGGGGGTGTCCAAGGAGGAAGAACACCTCAGCTCCACTATGGTTTGGGCTGAGTCAAGAAAATCTATCATTATGGCTGGATATGGCACTATCGGATTTGAATATCCTTTTATTTTATTTTTTCTCCATTTCTCTTTTATAATTTTGAAAAATTGGGGTGGGAGAGTGGGCTTGTGCTGCTCTTTATTTTTTATCCATTTCTTCACTATGGAGCTTAGAGAAGTTGTGGAAAACTTACCAATAAGATATATATTATTAATAACGTTTTTACCTCTGCATTCCCCCTTAAAGATCACGCCCGTCACAAGCATTGACCAAGTTATTAACTTTTAGATAAGAATGTAATAGACAAACAGCTTAAACAATAACAGCCCACTTACATCAAGAATAGGACCGTTGCAGTAGCCGCATCTCGGTGAAAATAGGTTATGGTAATCACGTTCGCAGAATGCCACTCCATCTCGCTCAAAAAAGTTGCAGGAGCCTAATTCCTGATGGCAGTGACTGCAGGTGAAGTGTTCCGGATGAAAAGTCTTCCCAAGAGCGGTCACAACCTGTAACACAAGATCGAAGAAAATGTAATATTATAGGAGTGATGTTTTGCCCTACCTGACGTGCTATCGTACCGACTACTCAGTACATCCCCATATACTTTAGAAAAACGAAAAGAAAAAAATTTGCAAGTGATTCGGATGACCGAGCTTGCGCTTGGTGACTTGTGTTGCATCCGATCCCCAAGTAGCAGCACGTACTGCAAATTCTATATCGATGTAAATGTAATATTGTTAATTAATAATAAAAAATATATATAAACACTTCTATTGCATCAATTAAAAATGTATGTATGCCTGGCTAATAAGCATCACCCATAATTGCAATTATATTTTTAAAATATATTTACAGCCTGTTTTATTATCATTAATAAAAAATTTCATATTGTTAAAAAATGTTAATTTTCATAATATATTGTGAATTTCCAATTTACAATTAACGCTAAATACCTGTCCGACAATAGGCTTGTTGCAAGCAGCACAGTGACCTTTAGCTACCGTGTTGACCCCTTGTCGACTCATGTCAGAATCCAAATGACGCAGCATAGAGTCAAGCTGATTGCTAGGGTTATGCTCAATGGATGCTTGCTGAGAAACTGGGGCTGTTTTCATGGGGTCATGGGCTTTCGTATCAACTACTTGTGGTATATGATTCATCTGAAATAAAATAGTTTCATAATATTATGACATGAAATTTTACAAAAAAAACTGGGTCAAATGTAAGTACTATACAAGGTAGACGGTTAATAAACAAAATTTTTTACATATTTGTTGATTCTGTAGAAAACACATATAGATTATTCACGTTCAACCATTTTATCCACTGACAAACCATTGATACCAATTTCTAACGTAATTATGTTGTATGTTTGTTTTTCTTTGAAAAATTTTAATTGATTAAATGTGTGTTCAATAACTTATATAATGCTAGTTTTTGTGTTTCTAATACATTATGATGGTAAATTATTAGGTTTTGAAATGCCTATTCCAGAAAGCCTATTCCAGAAAGCCTATTCTAAACCATTAAGATTATAAAGTCATTCAGGCGGTAACCAACGTCTGGTTGACAACAAAGGGCGCCACCTGGTGTTGGGGTGACACAACTGTTGTACTCTATAGAATGATTGAACTAAGCTTTACAGGCTTTTGGGATATTTAAGAATATGTTCACCTGTTGTTGAGATAAGTGTGCTCTTTCTTCATTCCCAAGATAATAATAACTATATCCAGGATTTATGAAGTGCTAATGTCAAAAGAACCTCTAAGTGCTGTACATAAACCAATCTGGTAGGTACAGGTATAGAAATATCCATGCATCCTTGAAAAGATGAGTTTTAACAATGGTGTATCTAGGGGTATTGAAAATGGGGGGAGGGGAAGCTAATGGGGAAGTGTGATGGGGAGAGTGCAAAAGTAAAGTTGGGGGGGGGCTCAATGATTAAGTGGAGGGGGAATGGGCTAGTCTGCAAAATGAGGAGATATGATGTCATTTTTAACTAATTGAGCGTGAATTTTTTTGCTTAGTACATTTTCAGTGGGGAGGGTGACAGGGGTTTTTAAGAGAACTCTTAAAAATGGTCCTAATCTGTGCATGTTGTAAACAAACAAGCTGATTTAACTTACTTTGAAATCTGAAAGGGACTCCATCAGGTCATCCAATTCTTTTGTTGCAGAAGATGCCGAACGTGGAGGTGGAGAGCTGATAACTGGCGGACTCTTAAGTGCAGACTGTTGCTGCAGAGGTGAAGGTGCATTCTGTGTGTAGCTTGGTTTATTCTGGGTAGGACTTGGTGCATGCTGGTTATAGCTTGGTGACTGGGTCACTCCTCCTTGATATGGTTGAGACCTTTGCCCACTAGGAAAAAAAAATGACAAAATGAAGAAATGTATGCAAAAGCTTACACAGGTTAGATATAAAAATATGAAGTATTTATTTAGATTATTAGTGAGATATTTATATCTCTACAAAACAATGTGATGTTGTACCTTGTACTTTGCATAGTAACATTATTGCTTTAACTTGACGATGAGAGTTGACATATAATCATTGTGATGTATAGCTGGCATCACCAGAATTATAATGTAAAATAGGAAAAAAAAAGTGATTCTATTTTTACAGCAAGTGACTCGTCACTTTACTGCACAGGATGGAAGTATGCTCCAAGAACTAAGCCTCATTATTAGGTATATGGGGTTGAGTTGTTTTTATTTGGAAGAAACAAATTAAGAATTTGCAGGATTTGAACAAATGACCGTAAGATTGGACAACGAGCATCTTAACAGCTATGCCATAGTATCCCCAAAAATATATAAGCAACTAGCTTAATATAAAAGCAGTGGTCAAAATATATTAATAAACCCTAAGGAATAAAAATAGTTTATGACTTGATGAATACAAACAGCTGTTTACTTACAACCACTAGGTTAACAGTTTCCTATCAATAAATATATTTCAGTTAATAATTTAAAAAATAATTCAAAACCTCTGAAGCCCAAGAGAAGAGACACCAACATTTTGGCAAAAACCTGCTAACACTTTAAATAAAAGAGGCCTAATACTGAAAGCCAGAATAAATATTACTTATCCCCTAAGTGGCCTATACCACAAATACACCACTGGAAATCCAGGCCTAGAGCTGACTTACATGGTCATGTATACACCATCAAAGCGACACTCCTCGTAGTCCGAGTAACCCTTGCGAACGGGGAACATCTCTGTCCACCGACTGGTACACAGTAAAAGGAAATGTTTGGCTCAATCTAGGAGGCTAAACAATTATTCACCACCTGGCAAACTGCCAATATATTCTTCCCGTTTTTATTAATGGTAACGTTTGGGGTGTACAGGCAACACATGTCTACGTTGAGTAATTGCCTTTATGGTGACACATAAATAACAAACCATGTATAATAATCACAAGTAAGGTCAGGGAATAAATCAATATAATTCTTAGAAGACTGTGGCACTACATTTTTTTAATATAAGCAAACTATATTTTTGGATGACTGCCGAAGGACGACGAAAAAAATATATTTTCAAAAAAAATCTAGGGGAAGGAGAAAATAAAAATAAAATTTCTGAATCAAAAAAAGCAAGCGTGCGAGGTAAGAAAGAGTAATAGAGGGCTCCTATAGGCCTTTGCTCGTCATCCCATCAGATTCTATTTTTCGTGACAACTGGTTTGCTAAATGGCCAAAACTAAATTACATTTTTAGTTAAAATCATTAAAGGCGGGCTGTGTGTTTGCTAGACAACTTTTGGAAATTATTATATGAACCTTCGGTATTTTATAGGTTTTTGAAATAATTATCATCTTTGTACAACTAATATCATGGCACTGCCCAGAAAAATATGACATTTGAACCCACGACCTGCAAGAAAATATGGAGAATGTGGATTCGATTCCAACCTCTTTTTCCCCACTTATGCTTAATTATTGACATCTCCAGTACTCTACATCAATCATTTGAAGCATTTATCAAGCCCATGAAGAAAAAAAACACTATTAGTTGTGATTATTGCACTGTTATTGTAGAAGGATTGATGGATAATTTTATTTTAGTTGTGGAACACACCACTTACTTTAAACCAAAGAAGCCTTATTTTCACTGGAGTCCTACTGGTGGTGAATTGGGCAGTACAGTGGGAGACAATCCCCTCCCCATTTCCAAAGAGTGTACTGAGACTCCCTAACCCTCATAATAAACTTTTATATACATCATGAGTGTACATTGTCTTATGACAGGGACTGCCAATTTAATGTTTTTATGACAGTTGCTATTGCCAATCTTGTGCCGATAAAATAATTAAAAAAATATAATTCAAAAATGAATTATACAAACTAAAAGATTTCACAGTGCTTGAACATAAGTGCATGAATGCACACAACCTAACAGACACTGGTCAGTGCTATGACTACGTGGAAAGCTGACTTCCTTCCTAAATGAATCAATAAATGTCAATAATACTAAAAATTCACAGTATTAGGGAAACAATTTGGTGGAATTGGGGCAGCAGACTGTTTAAAGAGGACTTACAAACAAGCCGTACCACAAGGTCAACAATATTGTCTGTTGTCATGGTAGAGTGTTCAGTTGCTTCAGGATGGCAGCATGGATTTCTGGTTTGTATTGCTCTCTAAGTACAAACATAGGCTATATGATCAAACATTTTCTGTTATCTGACAGACAATACTATGCATGCCTTGTGCCTTGCTTTTGTTGGACGAGAGATATGTAATAATTATAAACTCACAGTTTACAATATAGTTAACTTACTTTGTCCTGGTCGACGCATCTATTTCAGTGAAGATATTATCCGTTTGTGATGGCTTTTTTGGTTTGGGAGCAGTCTGTGGTGGGGCTGGCTTGGTGGGTACTGGTTTAACTGAAGAGAAAAATAACATACAAATTTAACAGAATATCTGCAAAGCAAGATAACAAACTTCCTTTTATTAAATATGATGATGGTGATGATGATATTGAGGATATAAATAATGATAACAATTATTATACACGATAAGCCAAAAAAAAAAGCATTCTACATGTGATCAAATGGTGAGTCGATGCTAAAGCCTTAATTGGCTTATCTGACTCACTGCTCACACTAAAAGGTACTTTTATTGAGGTACATTTCAATGAACCTACATGTGTGGAAATAAAAACAATTTGAATTTTGAAATTGTACTTTTGTAATCACAAAATATTTTTGGCCTATTGATGATGATGATGATGATAACGATGATGATTATGATGATGTTAGATTATTGTTGGATCCAAGGGGTACCCTCTAAAATTTTGAAAAATAAAAAAATGGAGAGAAAAAAGGAAAATTATACAATTTCAGTTTCAGAATGCCATCCCATAATGATAATGACTTTCATTAATAAATTAGAATTCATATTAACATAGTAAATAAATGACAGCTCTAGGAATTAGTGATTTAGATGAAAACTAAGTACAACTCACCGGTTCCAATCTGTGCGGCTGCTAAGTCTTCCAGTAGGCTGTCCAATTCAGACAGATTACTAAGAGCAGACATGTTGCTTGTTGGTTGGTATGTACTATTGGCAAAGTTATTCACCGCTTCTCCCTTGTAGGCCGGCTTTGGGGGAGGGGTGCTGGAATGTGATGGCTTGAAGTCCAATTGTACTTCACTGTACAATGGTGAAGGCTGGCTGAACTGTTGAGGCTTTGAATTGAAGTGATTTTCAGGAATGTCTTGACGCTAGCATTTGTGAATAAATATTCATTTATGAGTTGTGATTCTGATAAGGAAGTACTTTTTTAAAATTTATGATCACCATATGCTGAATAGGTCACCCTGTTGAAATACAGGTATTCTAATAATTTGTACAATTCATAATATAACCAAAGACTACAGAACTGCAAGAGATCCAACTGTCGTGGTTTCGTTGGAACGTAATTCTATTTTAAAAAGTACTGCCACGAAGGGGAGTGTCCTTCAAAGACAAGCTTCTAGTGAAGTCTATTCAAATTCTAATTAGGGCGCCCCCTACCTCATGGCAGTACTTTTTTCCATTGCATATATACAAAATCAGTGCAGTCGGACCATTTGTAGTCCTATACTCTTTGATATACCCATGGAAGAATAAAACTCATTCCTCCATGATATAACAGTCCTTATGCTACTTGTATGCTTTGCTACTCATGTTCTGACCATGTAATGCCAATTACTATCAATTTCCATCTAATACAGTAACTATGCGATGACTTCTCAACAATATCTGCTTCCATTTTATATCTTTTCATCTTCAATTATTTTTCAACATATCTTTCCCATGTTTGCTTTGGCTTTCTTTTTCTCTTTTTCTTTCCTTAAATTTTCCCTTGCATGCACTGAATAAAAGTTTCAATTATTATACTATAACAGATATCAACAAGAGTATTAATTATGTAAACATACCTGAGGTTTTCTGGGTACCTGGTTACCGTTTGGAATTTCCAAGTACAATGGAGAAATCGGGCTTGGTGGGACAGGGGCAGCTTGCGACGTTGATGAAGGACGTCCTGAACTTAGCTGGGATGAAGTGTTCTGGAGTTCTTCCAGCAACTTATCTGTAACAACAAGAATAAATAAACAGGCACATCACAACAGAAGGCTTACGGATTTTTAACTTATATAAAGTTTTTGTTCATTTTCCTGTTTTAAACAGGATGCTATGATAACTATTGTGATACATTACAGAAGATGCATAATATACAGTACCCCTGGGAATAATTTCAAATACTGTACTTCCAAAGTTGCTGGTTTTAGTACAATAGACCTTTCTGCGGATTTTAAATCACACTTAACAACTGACCAATCAAAACGGGACAGGAATACGTGCATGTCTCACAGACACACGAGTTGTCCCACAAACGCATGTGTTTGCGTATGCTATAACACTGTTGCTTTGTTAGACCTTTGCAACCATATCCAAGGGGCGGGGTTTAGTGGAAATATCTATTTATCAGAATAGAAAGTGAGTGTATTACATCGGTGAGATGATACAACCCTCTAGGGAGCTATATTGACTACATACTAAATAATTGAATGTTGAAGTCTCACCAAATGAAAAACAGTATAGTTTATATTATAATGAATGTAGTGTAGTATCAATGTATGGAGTTATACTACAGTATTCCTTAGGGAAGGTACAGTATATACATACTGTATATACAGCATGTCTACATTCAGCAATCTTAAAAACATTTTAATTCATGTGAATATCCCTGTAATATTTAAGAATTGTACATGATTCAACCACCTGATGTGTATTCAAGAACAGATGCCTTATTACAGTATACCAAGGAGATATTAAATAGACTAATTTACAGTACACCTCCTTGATTATATCAGGGAGTTGCAATAACAAATTCCTGATTAAACTATCAGCTATCATGTATTTTTTTTTTATAGGTTCATACACTATTAAGTCTTCACCTAAAGTCTTGTTTGAATTGGATTATAATTTTACCAAAACAATAGGGTCACTTTGCCACTGGCTAAATCTTACTGATAATCGCATGTCACTAATTAAGTAACATTCTACTGTAGGTTTTTCCAAAGACTGTACTGAAAACTACCAAGTACAGTTATACTGTTAGGCCCAATAAAAAAAATTATTAGTTTATCACCCCCGCACGCATGTCTTCTATGGTACTGGGAAAAAAAAAATGTTTTTGAAAAAAAAATAAAATTAAAAAACATTTTTTTCCCAAATTTTATTTATTTATGTTTTTTCATTTATTTTATTAAATAGTTAGTAGATATTGTTTGTATTATCTAACTCATGTTTTACTTTGAATATCAATGCACCAGCAAACAACCCAAGGGTGATATTTGGCTTTAGCAAAATAAAAAATTAAAAAAACCCTCCCTCCCTCATCACTTTTTCTGCCCAGATAGGGTGATAAACTAATAATATTTTTTATAGGGCCTTACTGTATGTGAGAAGTCAAAAAATAAATGTTTTAAAGTAGGTCTGATAGAACACCTGTCTGCATGTAATCTAACTCTGCTTCCTGTCAGTGTGCTGGAAAATAAAACACCGTCTGCTGATTGTTGGTGGCAGTCTGAACGGATCATCATGAAAAACGATTCGTTGCGTGTGTCGTGGCCTTGCAATCGACCATCAGGCAGAGTGACTGCCCGGCTTAGGGCAAAAATGTTGCATATGCTTATGCACTTGTTAATTGTAGTCCCGCCCACCAACCCCCGGACCATTGCGGGGTAGTAGCCGGGACTGAGCCGGGGTTGTATACATAGTTGTGTCCCTGCAGTGCCGGGACATATCTATACTTTACCCATAGATGTAAGGGGCCTCAGAAGGCCCGAGAATTTGACATGTTAGATTAGCCGCGGTTTCCGGGTGTGTACGGCTGTAAGTGGCGGGGACTTAGTCGGGGAATGATGCCCCGCATTGCCAGGACTTTCACATACATGTAACCATTTTGAAAATTACATCCCCGGCTAAGTCCCCGCCGGGGGGAAGGAGGGGAGCGGGACTACAATTGACAAGTGCATTATGAGTATTCAATACCATTACACGGAACTGTATTATATTATATGTGTTTCAAAAAATCAATGCATTAAATTTCATGTATCATGAAATATGTAGCTTTTTACACGTGTAGAACAGGCCTGGGAAAAAAAAACTTCAACTGTTAAATGTATTTTTTTAATTGGTTCTGGCATCAAATGTTATATGTGTACACATATATCATGGAGAAAATATATTCAGATACTGTATGCAGCAAAAAAAAAAAAAAAAAAAAAAAACCTGCTCACCAACGCTCATTAAAAGGCTTTAGTGAGTGAAGATATAAGTCACAAGATTTACCTGACATTTGCAGAGATTAGAATTATGGGACTAGAATTAAAGATCATTAGGCCAAGTACATAAAATAATTAGTTTCTTGTCTTCATCTGCTCACTTTTTTATTTTCTTTTTTTTTTGTTTTTTGGGTAGTAGTCCTTTAACCACATTACAGTGCTAAGCACTCTAGAGTACTAAATGACATTTACAGGTACCGTATTGATTCAAATAGTGGGTGCTGTCTCACACTAATTACATTCTGCATGACTACTACTCTATGTTATAGTCTATGTAAACATTCTGAGGTTGCTATATCTAAACAATGAATGCAGTCATGTGCATGTGGTAATGTGAGACACATACATCCTAATGCTCTACCTAAACTATTGTAAGTTTTCTGTGGCAGGTACCTGTGACCTGACATGATGATGTCATAACAAAAACTTAATTATGGGCAAATCGCATACTGGTACGTGCTAGAGGTTTGGAGACCTAACATGCTATAATACAGCTTTACCAGGGAGTTGTTATTTAGTATCACTACACTGTACATCTATTCAAAAACAATAATTTCTTTTTTTTTTTCTTAAGTCAATTTTGGTCATTAACATGATAAAATGATAATCATTGTCATCATGATCAATATCGTCAACATAATCATAATCTCAATGATCATCAACATGATGATCCTCATCACAATGAAATAAACTGTCCTTAACAAAACAGTCATCAAAATAATGATCATACAATTATCATCATAATTTATTATTTATTTATTATTTATTATTATTTCAGGTATATATTTATTCAATCAGACATACAACAAAATAAGTTCAATACAAAATTACTTAAAAAGAATTACATTCAAATGTACAAATCTATATATAAAATTATTCATTATAAAAATTACTCATTACAAAATCATTTAAAAATTACAATTCTATATACAATATTATTCATTATAAAATTATTCATTCATTAACAAAGAACATTCGACAACAGTAACCTTTGGCAATAGAGATTGAATTGGAGGCTACTGGGTTAAAATAACATTACTGTACACAGGCACAACAAAAAAAACAAAAAAAAAAAAAGTAGAGTACAGATTATTTTCATGATTACCTTTCAAATAACTTTGGAAGGGCTTTTTATGCATATTGTAATTGTTTGGTTAATTTAATAGATTAAAAAAAGAGAAATTGTCTGGTATTAAACCTTGAATACTGTACAGTATGTTGCATTTAAAACATCTATTAAAACCATACTAAAATTTAGTATAAAAAAAAAAAATTTACAGTACTTAAAAAAGCAGAATATTACAATGTTTACAAACTTAGTACAAAATAAAACAAAGTTTATTTTAATAAGCAGAATAATACAATGTTTACAAATTAGCTGAAGCGACTGCAAAAAGTATTAGCTGAATATTGAGATCTTGTACCCAAGGGTATTACAGTATGCGTCATTTTTAAACTTCATTTCCAAAACTGATGGATGCTTTAATGACGAATCAGACAACATTAATACTTCGATCATTTATTCATTGGCATACAGCTTAATAGACCTGCTGC